TCTCGAGATCCCGCTAAGATCTCCAGAGGTCTAAAATTATTTCTGAATTCAAAACAATGCTCTCGACTCCATTTGGGCAGCGTTCGCAGCCAGTATAGCTGAGAAACGCTGTGAACTTCTCTGATTCTTCGGAAAAAACGTCTGATGTAATATGAAGTTCAGCAGCTTCTAAAATTAACTTATTCATTGTATCTATCTGTAAATCGAGTCAAGCTTTGGTAAAAAGAGACTGATTAATGTTTATCAAGTTTCACCTTAATTTGAGATGTAGACATCAGAAACTTAAATGAACTCAAATTAAACTTAAATTACTCAATTCTTTTTGTTGAGTGTATTCCAAGATTTTGTCCAGTTGTGAGGTCCACGTTCTTCGTGCAACTTGCGGAATATATGCTGTTGTTTTACTGGATTAGATGTATTTGATAAACGAGTTTATAAAGGGGAAAAAGCTTGTAAACGTTTTTCGATCATAAGTAAATAACTATAACGAAGTGTTTGGCTTACTTAAAACTAATTAGGATTAACTAAATGCGGGTACACCTTTGAAGCCTATCTTGGAAACGTTAGGTTGCTGGACATAATGGAAGTTAATATCATCTAATATATCCTTCAAGCGAAAACAGTTTCCTTGAACTCCAGAGGTTCAGGGGGCATCTCTCCGAATGCAAACGTTCGTCTGTAAAATGGCTTTGCACGACACATTAAGATTTGAAAAAATCTCCTACTATGATATATAGCTCTTTGAGAGTGCAAACAAACATTACTTCATAACAAAGAAAAGTCGATGTTGTGCAGCTGATAATTGTGGACAGAAACGTCAGGGTTAAGCACGACCTTTCTTTCTAAATTACTCAATTCACAATATATAGTATAACTCTCAGACTTCTTTGTTCAATCCGCGGAATTTTTTAATCAGAATATTGTACAGCTTTTCTGTACCAAAGACTAGTTGCATCCTCTCTTATTTATGGGAGTAAAATGGCTAAAATATCAATTGTACTGACTTTTAGAGGTCATTGGACTCATATTTGACCTATAAAGGATTGAGCCAATGATATGCAGGGTTTGTTTAATCGGAATATTGCAGAGTTTTGCAAGAGCTATTTTTCTATATCAAGCTTTAGGATAACATCGCACTGGATTTTGAACAAAATCGTTTTTGCTCAGCATTGATATGTTTTATGTACCTCCTCAGAAAAGTTAATTTAAAAAGTCACGATAAGGTTATAATGCTAGATATGCACATGAAAATGTGTAAAGTCATTTTCTCTACAAAATGTGATCAAGACTAGGTCGGAAAAACAGTGGGCCAAAATCAATGAAAAGCTGTCCCCCTCCTTTACCATACTCTGCAAATTTACTCCTGACTCGAAGTTTTCTTTCGAACAGAAAATATCAAGACGTGAGCAACCCTCTCTGCTACATCGTTATGCATAGCCTGTCATTTAAAGCTAAAACATGATTGAGTTTCAGTGACCGTTACTTGTGGATTTTCTGCAGAGGATCTTGAGTACTAAAGCTCTAAAAATTCAAATTTTAGAAAACTAAGACAATAGAAATGTTCAGAATAACGTTTAATGTATGACGATGTTAGAAATATCCTCGAAAATCAGTTAAAACCTTTCTTAACTAATGATTATCATCCTTTCTTTCTTAAATATACGGTCGCATAGTTATGAGACAGACGGTAGCTCGAACATTTCATTAATATAATTCTTTAAATTTAGATAACTGTGTGAGTGACGCCCAATAGTATAGATGCATAACTAAATTCAAGCTTACTCTGAGTTATTTTAAATTATTTTCAAGGTTTCTCGTCAGTCTCTCACATCTATGTTTAACTTAATTTGTTCTTGATTTTTGGAAATGAAGAAGAGACTGCGCTATCTATTTTTGAATAAATGAAAAAGATTAAAATTTATTCCCACCTGTTACACTTTCAGATCACATTCCGTTAATTGACATTTTTTTTTTTTTGTTTATCTGAAGCCTATAAAAGATTAGAAAATGAAAATATGTAGGTAGATTAATTTTGTCAATATAAAAATAATTGATTATAGACCGTTAGAATCAATTCGACCATATTAGTAGTGAAAAAACAATGCAAATTCTAATTATTAGTCTGTTGGTCGTTTTGTTCATTGGATTTAGCAATGGTGCATTGAGTGTTGTTCAACAATTTCTAACTAGAAATGATTACAATTTAAAATGGAAATATGGCACACCACAATCGGTGAAATGGATTACAATTCATAATACAGCTAATAAAGCATCAGCTCAAAACGAAGCTACCTATTTGAATAATCGTCAAGATAATACCTATATTAGTTTTCATTATGTGGTTGATGATATTCAAGCACTTCATCTACTTCCAGACAATACGTGAGTTTGGCACAACTAATTGCTCCTTCCTCTTATAAAGGTTCATTCAGTTTGAATTCAAAAAGTCAGAATATTGATTCTATTATTTGCTAACTTGTCGCTTAGCCAAGTTACAGAAATAAGAAGGAATTGATTTAGGGCTTTTCTTGCAAATTCTATAACTGTGCAAAGGAAGGTCGTGTAGAGCTGGCAGATATCTCATTTTAATCAGAAATTTACCGGCTACAATCATGCATCACTAAGGAAGGCTCGTGTTATACTTTAGAGTTTCTGAAAAACTGGTTTTCCAGAAAAACGGATCTTCAAAGGGCTAAGAACCTATTCCGGAGTATGGGCGTGACATTTTCTCATCCATTTTTGTAGAATTCAACTTCCTCTTTCATTTGACACAAAACCGAAGGTTCTACGACAGGTATAAGAGGTCTAAAATGACTTGCAAAAGAGGTCATTTCTGCTGGAAAACGATGGAAAAATCGACTTTCCGCTGGGAAAGTATTTTCCCTGTATCTTTTTTCTAACAATGCTAGAGAGCTGCGGTTTTCATCAATGGAATCAGCGTCCAAAACTGCATCTGGAAATGTGTTTCTCGTTTTCTGCATTACAACTATAACGTGGTAGACATCATACGGATTTACCCTCATCTACCATGGATGTAGTATTCAGTAGTGTACATGATCCGGTGTAACCAGTGTGAATAGAATTAAATTTGATTTTTCTTCTAGAAATGGATGGCATGCGGGCGATGGACAAGGTGAAGGTAATCGTGCATCAGTAGCAATTGAAATTGCTTATTCAACCGCCGACGATATTGGTCTACGAAATCGAGCTTTGGAAAATGGTGCAAGATTGGCTGCGAGATTATTAAGAAATTATAACTTCGGTACTGATCGTCTTCGAAAACATCAAGATTGGAGTGGCAAGCGTTGTCCACATGATATATTAGATCGTTATGGTTGGCAAAATTTTGTTAATTTAGTTCAACAAAAATTGAATAGTGGTGACATGTAAAAACAAAACTCAATATCAGCCCAAAAAGACAGTTTAACCCTTTAAAAAATTATTTTTGCCGAATAACTACTGTCTTTTTCTAGACGTGTCAACATGAAGCCTATAACTTCAGTTTGCTTGCATCTGACACCGGAAAGATCTGTTTGGGATTGATGATTATCACTAATGATTTGGACTACAGAATAAAATGTTTTGAATTTTCAATCACTTTATTTTCACTTTACAAAATTTCGTTTAGCGTGCCCGTCATATCGAAACTTAGTCCAATTCTCTCCACTGAATGTTTATTTTATCTGCATAGTTTGATTCTATACTTAACATAGTAGAAAAGAGTTTCTTACTTCCGAAGATTTCGCAGATCACAATAAACGTAAAAAAGAGAGTATAACGGGTGGGTCAGATTAAACTGGCCACTTTTTTTTCTGTTTTTGAGGCATCAAAAATTGTTTTAAAACTTGGTTTTGATCTCACTCAATAGAGAATTCACTACTTAAAAAACCTATCACCTTTGTTTTTCAAATAAATTTTTCTTGTCGGCGCAAAATTTAAAAGATGAACACCTACTCAATGGTCCAACAAAAAACGAAAAATTGATAAAACATTTTTAATAACGCCTCCACTGAAATTCCAAATATACCGCAAAGTTCTCCCTAAAATTCTGCAGTTGTTGATGTATGTGATTATACTTATATATAACAGTGATTATACTTTTAGTAGTCGAGTTGAGGTTTAATCGAATTCCTTTTGATTTCTTTTGAATAAATTTAAATAAATTTGTTTGACTATAGGAGAAGCAAGCCGAAAGACTATGAAACCATCAAGAATGCAACTTTCTTTGCTTGCCTGATTATTTTCCTGTGATCTGTTCTCGAAGACAAATACCGAGTAAAACAGATTGCAGTTTGATCTTAAAGAGATTAC